AAGGCTTGCAGCGAAGTTGCTAGTGTTGTAAATAAATTTTTATTTCATTTTAAAATAAATATGCATGTACTGTATAAAAATAAAACAGGTTGGAAAAAACATAAGCATTTCACAGCTCACTTTGATACTTTTTGTGATTATTATAAATAACTTCAAAGTGTATATTATAAGACAGAATGAAAAGTATGGGCAGTTATTATAGTCACTGCATTACTTTCACATTATTTCTATATTATTTTGTATTATACAATTACATCAGTGTTTATATATTTCTTTTTCTAATTATCTTGTAATTTATTTACAGCAAATTCTATATCAATTCTTGATTTATAGATGAATTTTTTATTATATATGATTATATTCATATATATGATGTATATTAACATATAAGATATATATGATGTACATTAACAAAATAAGATTTCTCTCACCAGAAAGCATAAAATTATTAAAAAAATATTAGCAAAGAAATAAATCTGTAGCTTACAGTAATGAATTTTCTGTTGGAGATCTGCTGCAATACAAAATCTGGCTGTAAATGTTATTCCATAAATATAGCACAGACAAATTAGGCATAAATGTAGATTCATTACAATAGTTAAGATGTGTATCATTATGCTGACATTATTGATATCTATTTTCTGTATAGCTTTTTCAGACTATTCAGCTTTTATCATTGCTAAAAATTTAAATTATACTTATTGCCGAGGCATTTTGTTGTCTTGTTCTGTAACATACGATGCACTTTTATATTTTCGTGAAATGTCTATGCTGTGCACACACTTAAAGCAGTTTTTGTTTTTTTTTTGTTTTTTTTTTTGTTTTGTTTCCATTATTTAATTTAATAGGACGTAATATTAGTTTTTAAAGAAAATATGCATAACACTTTAATAATAATTTTAAAGTCATGCTAAGTATGATGCTCATAGTACACAGTGTTAAATAATAAAACAGGAATTAAAAATGTAATTTTTTATTTTACGTATTCAGAAATTAATTCGAGCATTCTCCTTTTCAATTCGCTTTTATTTTCCCCGTGGTACAGCACCAAAGTCATCACGGAGACTTAGCAAAAAGTGTTCATCATCAGATATTTGGATGCGTGATTTTAACCGTGATGCTGCCAAATCTAAATAACTCGACAAATTCGAATCAATGTCTTTTTTTTTTTCTTTTTCTTTTTTTTAAGTGGAGGCTTTACATGTCTCCATCATCTACAAGCTGGCTGCTGCATGCAGCTTGTTCATTAAATGACTCGTCAAAATTAATGGGTGTTTTCGATAAGGAGTGAAGGCTCCTCTATTATATTGCTCGTGGTCCTGTAAATAGAGAAAACATTAAGAGAAAATACAAATAAAATTAATATATAAACATAAACATACACATTGTGTGTGTGTAACAATTTAAATACTGAAGACATACTGATGGCATAAAGATTTAGTGGGCAATTTAATACAGTACAAAGTCCGTAATCTGGACGTCCATTACCTGGAATGATCTATAATCCGGACCTCAAAGCCACAAACTTTTTTCTGTATGCTTTTATGCAAGCACATTTAAAGTAAAACGGATGGTATAAGCTAAGCTAAAATTATCTTTACTGATATTATATATATCAGCAAATATTAAATAGCATTTTTAAAATCTATGTTAAATTTCTTGAACAATGGCAAGACTTTTTGAAATTTTTTTGGCATAAAATCTGTGTGGAGCATCGTGGAGGATGTGTCTCAAGTTACGTTAAAAAATGCTTTACATAATTTATGGCCAGCTACCATATTTCATGGTGAGGACGATGAAGATGATAGCCGCGAATTTGAAAGTTTTCGGACATCGCAAACTAAAGGTGAAATTTTCCAGTTATTGGATTTTGTAAAGAAATGTGGAGAAGCGGTAATAAATGAAGATGATATAAGAGAAATTTTTCATTGCGGCGACAATGCCCCCAATCATCAATCAATTAACAGATGGCAAAATCTGCAGTATGGTTCTAAATCCAGAAAATACAGCTTCCGATAAGTGAAGAAGGTGACAGAGAGGTTATTGAAAACGAAAAAATTTCGATTGACAAGTTAGTGGGCATTCTCGACACAGCAATTACAGGACTTAGACAGTGTAACTGAACAAGAAATTATGTCTGTTTATAGAATTAAAGAGAAAGTATTAGCACAAAAAAAACTAAGCAACTTAAACAACTTACGTTAAAAGAAATGTTTAATAAAGTAAACACATAAATATTAAGCTTCTTTTTGTAGATTATGATACTTTTTAGATCATAATTCCTCTTTATTTTATAAATTACAGCTTCATATTTTTAATTGTATAATTTCTGCATGCCATCTTACCAGATTTAAATTGATGATCTATAATCTGGAAAAACCCCTAATCCAGAATTGTCGAACTCCCGACGAGTCCGGTTTATGGACGTTGTACTGTATTTCTTTTTACTCTTGTTAAAAAAAAAAAAAAAAAAAAATTATAAGCCAACACAGATAAACCAGAGCAAAGAGTTAGGGATCTAAAAAATTTTCATGTAAAATCACAGTGTCAACAAAAATGTATTAACATGAAGATTGAACTTGGCACTTAATGTATGCAGGTAGGAGTAGCCAAACTTTGTTGGCAGAAGCTACATATTAAAATTAAGAATCATTTAATAGCCATAACTAGATATTTATAGTTTTTAAGAAGGTTGGTATTGAATGCACAGAGGTCAACGAGGATCAAGAGGGTTGATAGCAAATATGCACCAACAATTTATAGGAATAATCAAGCTCCCATTGAATAAAAAAAATATATAATTAATTGTTTATTGATATAAAACTACACATGTGGTAAGAAAGAAAATCATACAAAATAAATATAAGGGAAAAAAATACATAAAAATTGCTTAATAAAAGTTTAAAAACACATTTTCAAAATTTATAAATTATTTATGCAAAAGTACAACATAAAAGAATAAATGCAGGAACAAAGAAAACACAACCAAAACTATAAGAATGCAAACTTTCTCAGGAAACATATTGTTATATACAAGATGCTGGCAAAACTTAAAAATTCCAAGACATTGAAAATTTAAATTTGCCAGTGGCTCATGGAACCTCTGAATTGCAATATATTTGATCTAGATATTATGATGCAAGAGTTGATTACATTGAAGGAGGATGTTCAAGCAGAAGTCTTATTCAAAATGGGAGTTTTGGGATTAAATATTATCAAAGAGAAATATTCCAAAATAAAAGTTGTGGTGATCTTTCATACGTACTGGTTTGGCGACATTTGGAGCATAAAGTTATAACCTGGGCTTGGTATATGTGAGCAGTCTGAGTTCCGATTACCATTATTTTGTTGGGGAAATGAGAATCTTGATATTAATGGAGAATTACGTTCTTTCTCGGAAGGTCAGGGGATATGTCTGTGTTTTAATGGACATTACTGTTCTTTAAATGGGAAAATCTGGGATTTTGTATTTGGCTTTATTCTGTGTTTGTGAAATAGTGTTTTGTGGATTCCATGGCCGTAAGAAGTGAATTCGAAATGGGTATTAGTGTATTGAAACATAGTAAGAAATGTTTTTAAGGTTGTGTGAGAGAGAATAAACATGTTTATTATGTTATTTATTTTACGTGGTATCTTGCTTTGAAAGAGAGATGATTTAAATTCTGAAAGAGAATGAAGAAAAGTGTATCCGCCACGTAATGAAGATTCTGAGGCGTTAGGTAATTAGTATTTTTATGATTTTTTGCATTGTTTGGAATGTAAGGGGAAATAATTTTGATTATTGGAAAATTGTTATAGCAATGATTTAGTTAAAAGTAATAGGATGTAAGGTAATTTTTATTATTGAATGTATGTGCTCATGTATATTTTAAGTGGTGTTTTTGAATTTAATATATTTTAATGAAATATAGTTATTTTGTAAAATTTTATACTTGTAGGAATTTGGTGTATGTTTAAGTTGAAATAAATGTGCATGAAATAATTTAAATATTTGATAATAAATATTTGTAATGCTTCATGTATAATTCGTTGGTGACGTGTAATTAAATAGGTGATTTAGAGTAAAAATTTTTGGATATTTTTTTTATTTATATGTGGAAATGTTCATATTTGTAAAGGGTAAATACTTTTTCGCGATATGTAATTTCATATATGTTTTTTTTACCGGGTTTAAGATTGGAAAAGTTCATGTATTTTCGTGAGTTTTTTTAATTTATGATAAAAAAGCAGTGTACAGGATATATGAAGAATGTGCGCAATGCCATTTTTGTGCATTGGGATTTTTTTAAGTAAAAAAGTCGCGTGTACATGTCAGTGATCTTTTAATGAAATGATAGTTATTTTGTGAATTTTATGCTTTGTAGGAATTTGGTTTACGTTTAAGTTGAAATAAAGTGCATGGAAATAATTTAAATATTGATACTAAATATTTGTGATGCTTCATGTATGAATTCGTTGGTGACGTGTATAATTAATAGATGATTTAGAGGTAAAGTTTTTGGATATTTTATTTATTTTATATGTGGAAATGTTCATATTTGTAAAGGGTAAATACTTTTCCGCGATCAGGTAATTTCATATATGTTCTTTTTACCGGGTTTAAAGATTGAGAAAATTGTCATGTATTTTCGTGAATTTTTTTTAATTTATGAGAAAAAAAGCAGTGTACATGGATATAGTGAAGAATGTGCGCAATGCCATTTTTGTGCAATTCTGGGATTTTTTTTAAGTAAAAATAAGTCGACGTGTACATGGTTCAGTGATATTTTAATGAAATGATAGTTATTTTGTGAATTTTATGCTTGTAGGAATTTGGTTTACGTTTAAGTTGAAATAAACGTGCATGGAAATAATTTAAATATTTGATACTAAATATTTGTGATGCTTCATGTATGAATTCGTTGGTGACGTGTATAATGTAATAGATGATTTAGAGGTAAAAGTTTTTGGATATTTTATTATTTTATATGTGGAAATGTTCATATTTGTAAAGGGTAAATACTTTTTCCGCGATCAGGTAATTTCATATATGTTCTTTTTTACCGGGTTTAAAGATTGAGAAAATTGTCATGTTTTCGTGAAATTTTTCGAATTTATGAGAAAAAAAGCAGTGTACATGGATATAGTGAAGAGTGTGCGCAATGCCATTTTTTGTGCAATTCTGGGATGTTTTTTTTAAGTAAAAATAAGTCGGGCGTGTACATGGTTTATGTGTATGTGTTATTTTGAAAAAACGCGTAAGGTGTATGGTATTGTACACTTTTTCCGAATTTTGCAGTGAATATTTGTCATGATTAAGCAGTTTTTATTTGATAAATTTCTAGCATAAGTGTAATTCGGCTAGTAGATTGTTGGAAGAAGTGTTCAGTAGATAAAAGAAAGAGAAACATGTCTTTACTTCGTGAAGACAAAATGGCGGCGGGGAAAAAAAAAATAGAGGGTTGCTGTAGGGGAGTTGGTCGCCAAATTTTCGCCAAAAAATCGCCAAGTTACCGTAATGTAAAGATCAACCAAGTTGTTATTAAATAATGTTATCGAGTTTCACTTATTTTTTTTTTTTAGCGTAGTAGATGTACTCTTTAGTCAAGATGAGAATTTTCAAAGTAAAAAACAAAATACGCTGAGCATTTTCAAATGATATAGTCTAATAAGAACCAAGCAGTTTTATGCCAAATACTTAAAAAAATGCATAATTACATCAAGTGCAGCATTCGCATTAATTAAAATGGAACTTTTCTGTAATGTTTCAAAAAACTTGTTTACATTTGTAAAATTAAATATAATAATAATACAGAAAATAATATAAAATAAATCTAATAAACAGTTTTGGTATTTCGGTCTTACAGCAGCCCCCCCCCCAAGACTGAATCACTAATCAACTGAAATATCTTCTCGAATTCTTGTCATGTACCTCACTGCATATTGCATCTCAGTTGATTACCAATTAAATTTAGGGGACTGCTATAATAAAGATTAATATCTTGCCACATGTTACATCTCAATTGATTGCCAATTAAATTTTGGGGGCCGTTACAATAAAGATGTATCGCAATTTCCCTTCAAAAATTTTAACGTGTTATCTTTAAGTTATGCTTGTGCAGTTATTTGTATTATGATTATGTTTCATGCCACGTATAATAGAGAAAGCATTGAAGAAAACCATTCTTTTTAAAGGAAGTCAATGGAAAAAAAAAGTTTGGAATCCTTGCACAAGAGCTCTTGCATAAAAAAAAGTAGTTTAGTTTTCTTAGGCTACTATCACACGTCGGTTTGTTTCGGAAGAACAACTGTTTGGAACAATTTTTCTGCTTTGTCACAACAGCCAATCACCACAGATTGCTTTGGGGTTAACGCAGGGGAAACTGGTTCCCCATTACAAACAAGCTGATAGCTGATTGGTTGAAAACGAACAACCTGCAATTTTTTTGGAAAGGAGGGAAAAAGTCACGCGTCTTTCTTTCAATAGTAAACCAGGCAGAAAAATTGTCCGAAACAGTTGTTCGTGTGAAACAAACGCCATGTGATATGGGCCTTAAACAATTAACTTAAGCTTTAAATTATTGGTACAACTCTGATATATGCCCTAATTTCACCAAATGTGGCAATATGTGTTCTTTGCTGGTTTATGACACAATTGCATGTTTCATGGTAACCCTGTTGACATTAAAAACATCTTTCGCTGGAGCTCGTTGGTTCGCGTCATGCTCTGTGTCTGAGAAGATAGAGGGAAAAGATAAAATGGTGGAAGTTGTTGAAATTCGGAAAAAGGAAATATCATCGTGGCCATCCTGTTAAGGAGCAGTGGGTATTTGGAGGTGTGGAAAGAGGGTCTGGGAGATTACTTTTAGTGGCTGTGTGTGGTAGAAGTAGGGATTTGTGATTTTATTTATTTGTGAACCACAGTATGAATTTTCTGGATAGTGTGTCTGGCTGTCATATAAATACGATAGTGATTACGTGGCAGCATGTTAAAGGCAGTGTGAAATTGGTATTTCTGCTGTTCGAAAAAGCACTAATTCATGGTAAGTACATTTTATTTTATTCTTGTTCATATTTTGTAGAATGTTATGTTCATTGTTTTTTTGAATTGTTTGAAATTTATTTTAGTTATTTTAGTTTATTTTGTTGATTAGTGTGTAGCGTCTAGATTTTGCAATACATATATATTTTTTTAAGTTTAAACAGGATGCTGTGTACATGGAAATTTATTGTTATGTTAATTTATTAAAACGAGGTGTGCATAGTTCATAGATTCGTTCATCGCCTAGACTGGGCCATTCATAGATGTGTTTTTAAGTTAAAACATATTGCTGTGTACATAGATTTTTGTCAAATATTTTTGGTTAGAAACTTTACGTTTTTGCTATCTAATTTTGTTGTTTTTGTTTCGGATTTTTAGCTCAAATTGTGTGTTCAAAACGTGGAAACTGCGTTTTTAGAGACATTTTAGGCTTAAAGTTCGAAATGTAGAAAAAAATTTAGAGTTATATGGCAGCGTGGAGTGTTTGGCGAGAAATTTGGAGACTTGAGAGTGCATATCAGAGTAGTTCCAAATTATTTTACAAACTGGATCAGCAGATATCTTCTCCAGCATAAGCTACATATATTCATAGGGCTGTTAAGATCATGGATGCAACATCTGTTAATACATGTCATTTCTGCTGTCATACAATGTCTATATGAAATATAGCATATGAAACAGTAGTAAATTCCAGAAATGGAACTTTTGTTCCTTAATTTGATGCTAAGTGTACATCAAGCAGTTTCAAATTGCTTAATGTTATTAAACACAATGTAATTTAAAATTAATTTGTTGACTGATAACAATGCATGTCATAAAAAAATTTCGTTAAAATCCTACTATACGGTGCAGCCTTGGCGCGATTTTGAAAATTATCGCCAACACCAAAAATGACCCAAAGAACATCTATGTATATACTAGTCGCCAAAAGTAGCCAAATCCCGTGTGCACCGGATACTAGGATTAAACCAAAATTTCTGTTTCAAATTATACTTAAAAAATAGGATCATTATTTTTTATAGCATGATCACATTTAAGGACCGAAACAGTTTTCATGGCTTCTTCTACGTGTCTTTCTCTTATTCGAAACTGCACTTCCAAGGTGTTTCTCTCTTACATATATAGCTCTTAAAAATATCTCTAAGCAAAGTATTGAATTTTATATAAATTTCCTTAAATAAATACCATTTTGAAAAGCAGTTATAAAATTCTTAAAAACTTCATGAATATTTTGAACCTAAAAAAGGTATTCTCACTTGTTACTGTAGTTACAAAATTCCCTTAGCAAATTTATATAATAAACAATATCAGAAATGTACATTTTAAGAAGTAATTCCATTTTATTATTTCAAATGCAAATGCAAATGTAGAGAATATATATTGTGTAGCTGTGATATTTTTAAATATACAGAATATAGTAATCGTTCTAAAATATTAAAAGTTGTTAGAAATACTTACGTTCGATAACTAACTGTATCTCTTAAAAAAGATAACTGCTCATACAATCCAAATTTTGGAGTTGTAACTACAGAACCACTCCTATTTATTGATTTTTGAGCCTTGCACTGCCTAACGTATCTATCTCGTAGACATTTCTATCGATGTCTGATAGTATTAACTAAAAATAAGAATATTATAATCATCAGTAAGCATACGTTTTATATCACAAAAAAATATATTATTAGCAAATATGCTCCTTGAAATATGTGAAACAGACTTACCGTCGTATCCTATACTGTTCGCTATTTTTATCCAGATTAGCTCTTTCTTTCTTTATGTCGGTAATCTTTCAACTTATGATCTCATAAAAGTGACTTTTGACGAACATCGCTACACGCAGCCGCCATGTTGAAAGCTGCAAACAAAACTTTGGAACAGATCATGACACGTGATTCGAATTCATATAGACAGACAAAGTAGACAGATTTCTTGTTTTGCACCCGCTAAGTCTTTCTGCACCGATGGGCGAAAAATCAAGCATAGGTGCGAAGGAAAGGTATATGGAAAAAGGGGAAATTTCGTATTTGAGGAGAGTAAAAAGGAATTTCGTACATTTTGTACGAGTTCAAAAGGCCAGGAACAAAAGATGGGACAAAATAAAATTTTAAATAAATGGCCCAAAAATAATAGAGGAAAAAAAAAAAAAAGGGCCTACAGAAAAGAAAAGGAAAAAAAGTAGAAAATATCCTAACATACGATTGTATATTAGCATACGATTATTGTATATTAGCATCCTAACATACGATTGTATATTAGCATACGATTATTGTATATTAGCATCCTAACATACGATTGTATATTAGCTTGATACGAAGCATATAACATATGCTTCGTATCAAGGTATTTAGCATGGAATACAAAGTAATATGTATGCTTGCATCCTGAGATATCAACAAAAGTCATCAAACAAAAGTATATATTAATTTAACTAAAGTAACTTATGCTATTTTCGTTCCCAACATTTTCATACATTTTTCAAAAAACAGCGTCAGACAAACAACATAGAACCATATACAATACAAGACCACAACCGCACACACCAAAATATATATATATATATATATATATATATGTGTGTGTGTGTGTGTGTGTAAATTACTGAGTATATGTATTAAAAGCACAAATTGAACATAGTATTTATTAATTTAACTATCATAATTTATTACAAGATTAATTATTTTACTATCATAATTTATTACTAGTTAATTAATGCTAGTATAACACAATGAGGCATACTGTTGTTTATATAAGCTCATAGTTCTAAGAATTTATTTAAGGCATGAGGAATAAACCATCCCTTACATATGGACATTTAACAGATAGCAAGGAACAGTATGAGAAAAAATCGGTGAGGTATAATATGATTTAAACGCGAAAAAATATATTTAAGCTATCTAAAAAAAAAAAAAAAAAAATCCAGAAGATCCGAGAGGGAAATAGCGCGTTGCCCCAATTTTCCCTCTCATGAGATTCCTCAAAGCAGACGTGAACTGATAACGTTGGCATCTCTTTGGAACTGATTCACAAAGGAAGCCACAAGCAATAAGCAATTTAAGGTATTTTTTATTGCTAAAAACTGATGAAAAGTTAAAATTTATTGATTTAAAAGCACTTATTTATAGAAATTTGATTTATTTTAGATGAAAGAAAAGTACTTATCTTAAAATTCCAGATTTAGTAACAGATAGCGTAGTAATCCAGGCGTAGTAAATCCTCACATTGTCCGCTGTTTTAAGGCCCGTTTACACGTACCGATTTTATCGGCCGACTTTCTCGCAGATGAACAATTTTCAGCATGTGCGCATGCGCTAAAAATCTGTCATGTTCTCTGCGACGATTTCAGAGCTAGTGTTCACCGCTCACTAGCCGACGATAAAATCGGCGACTCTAGCCAATTAGATTGCTTCCAGAGATCACGTGCTTTCTCTCTCATTTTGGAACATGGCGCTTTTTCATGTTGGAGCGAAAATCAAATTTTTCCAAATTGATTGATTTTTTATAGAGAACCATGCTGTGTTGTGGGACACAAATAACATAAATTATAAAAATAAAAAGTTAAAGGATTCCCTTATTTTGGTAAGTTATCGTTACCCGTTACTTTATGTAATCAAATATTTTTTTATTCGTGATGAAAATTATTTTATGTAGGTATAATTATCTTGTTGAAAGTAAAAATTGCAGAAAAACTAGTTTTGTGTTAATTGATGTAAACAGATTACAGCTCAATTTAATACAATATTGCTCAATTTTATTAGCTGATTAACTGATATAGCAATATGATTACAGTTTTCAGAACTGTATTAGTATTTTTTAATATTCAGTATGATATGCTATTTTAAGATTTTGCATATTTATATTTCTTATTTGAAATTTTTGTATTGAAATTACACTATTCCTTTCTACTATAGTAATCTTTATTCTTTATTAGTACTTTTTACTCATATTGTTGCGGTTTTCATAACATTATTGTCTATTTATTTAATAGTAAAGGTTATCATTTAAAGCACAGTAGTTATTTACTTTTCTGAAGCATGGTTATTTTAACATTTCAGGACTTAAGCACACAAATATGCGTTCCAGAAAATGAAATTAAAAAAAAATGGAGTAATCTGCGTACTCAATTTACAAAGGAGAAACATAAAGAGAAAAAAAAATATACATCTGGTGCAAGCACTGCAATGCAGTACAAATCGGCATGGCAGTTTTACACATCGTTACAATTTTTAAGTGATGTCGTGTCCTTAAGGAATACTGTGACTTCTTTGGTAAGTGATTACTTTTTAAATTTATACAATTTGGCTTATAAAGTAAATAATTTCCCTTTACTATTTGAAAATTTACAGAATTGTTTTTAATATAGGCAAAACTTTAACAGTTTTTGTGATAAATAAAATAATATTGTTATACATACTTAGCTGTGTAAATTATATTAGCTAAATATTCAAGCTCATGCAGCAGATGGGTCATCTGCAAAAGTTCACACTCACGGCAATTTCTACATAACTTCAGTACAAAAGTATTATTTTATTTATCCTTTTACAACTATGTGTGCTATTTAATTTCTTAAATGAAATCTTTATATTTAAAGACTATTCTTAAGCTCATTTACTTAAAAATAATCCCATTTCCCATTAAAGTATAGGTGCAATACCCATTAAAGTATAGGTAAAAGTGGATAGGACCAGGGCTTAATTTCTAAAATCAGAAGTGTCAGAGTTAGTAGAAGTTATATTTTGAATTTATATGAAGACCTAATCTTTTTTCCAATGAATGATATTCTATTGATAATTTCCAAAATAGCTGAGCAGTAAAACTGCTAAATAACTGGTAATTTGACCAGTGTTCGAATGCTAGCAAATAAGCTGACTGTAAGGTTGGTTTTTGTTTTTTCCTATGCAGAACATGGATACCAGCCATTTTTCCCTAAAAATTCTTCTATGAAGCATCCCTCTCTATAGGCAGATAGTCCTTGAATTGCGTTGTCTTAATCAATTAGTCTAACATCCAGAAAAGCATATGTAATTTATTTTGAAATGAGAGTTAAGGTACTTAAATTTCTCTTCGTAAGTCTATTTTGGTACTCATGTATTAACACAACCACTTTGTCACATATTTGGTGGTCTTTATAAATGTAAAGGTAAAAATTACTTACTGGTACAAGTTAGTGGTTTTTATGACTTTTTTTTTTTAAAAAAAAAACCATTCCCAAATATCTGATAGTAAGTCAGCAAAGTATTATCGACCTACCGAAAAAAGAAATTTAAATATGAATTTGAATTATTAAGTAAAAATTATATGATACATTAAAAAATAGGTTCTTACATGTTATCACAAGCACTTTAGTACAAGCTCTTTTAAATTTCCAGAATGTGCTAAAATCTGTCGACCATGAGCATAACAATACTTTAGGCAACCATGCTCATAAACATTCCTTCAGTCAAGCAACATTACCCTCATTCTTTTTCATTTATAAAAATTTGCCAAATTTGAGGTGGTTACGCTAATATGTTAAGTACTAAAAAATAAAACACTTACGTATTTCCAAATCCTTCTCTAACTTTTAGCGTTATTCTATTCTTCATGTACACAGGGATCTGTTTTCACTTAAAAAAACCAATAAGTTGCATAACCTTGTACAGCACATCAACTCTTTACCAAACACATCTCAATACTACTTGCGTTAACGGTTTTGTGACAAAATACTATATTCTGCAGAATTTTTACTGCAGTTTCCTCCATTGCTGGCAGATTCCACAAGCGATATTTTAAAAGTAAGTTAAAGGTTCCCAACTCCCAAAAAAATTACGATGTCTGTCAAAATCATTAGAATTCCAAATACAACAAAAATAAACAATTGAAACATTGCTTGACTGAAGGATTTTTATGAACAAGGTTGCCTGTGAAATTTTTATGTGCAGAGTATGGCAATTTTTATTAAGGTGGTTGAGATAATATGTGACTATTCTCGTCAACTTCGGAGCAAAAATTTTTTGAAAAGATATAGGTTTTGTAGAAAAAAAATTATTTCAAAGTAATTTAATTGATAATCACCAAGGGGAAAGGAATTTTTTTTCACTTTTTTACGGAGCGCTGCGAAGCAGCCTCGGTGATCGCAGCGCCCTCGAATCCGAATTCAGTCAGCTATGCGTCGCGGGTTTTACGTCTTCTGCGTCACGCGAATTTACGCAAGTGGCTTGATTTGCGCCGGCGTCAAAAAAAAAAAGTTGTGTCAACTAAGTCGCGAGCGTACTCGTGTGGACGGGCCTTTAGAAATTTTTGCTTACAATAAATAAGCCATGTATCGTATATTAACCATATTTTTAATGTAATGTTCATTGATTTTCAAAGAGAAATTGGCAAATTTTCATTTTATTCTTTTATCATAGTTAATTTTTTCTTGTTTTAGAGATAAGAGGATAGTCAAAATAAAGATGCTGATTAAAAAAATAAAAGTTCATGAAACTGAAACATTTTATTTTTTGTGTTCATGGGTACAGATAATTTGTAACTCTTTTGAGCAGCAAAGCCCTTTAGGTCTGTTCATAAAGAGTTGTAGTAAATAGCTTTTATATTTAAATTGGTACTTTCCAGATTCATTGGTATAGGTCCAGATTCAGGAATGTGTGTATACCTATACTCAAGCATATATATATATATATGTGTGTGTGTGTGCGTGCATATACACATGTATATACTAGGTAATGTGAACATGCATACAATATATGTATATAAATACAAATGTACTTGCATTTCTGAATCCCTCTTCCTGTTTATAACTATCCATCTGTTAGGATATCTGCGTCAAAGAAAATAAGAAAACTCTTAAAATCGCAGGATAATACAACATGAATTAACAGTCTAATAATCGGATAAAAGCAGT